ATTCATACCAAATTACTAAAAGCAACGATATTAAAAGCCATCACTGATGCCAAGCCAGTGCCCATATATATATATATATCTTCTGAAAATATTTTTCTTATGCACTAATACAGACTCGAACCCAGGACAATGCTTACTACAGCGATAAATGGCAGTATACTACAGTTTATGATGATGGATACTGTAGTATACGTCAAAATACGAGCTGTTTACGACGAAATACGATGACGTCTACCGTGGAGAAGGATTAGGACGTCGTATTTTATCGGGAATGGATATGTATTTCGTCGTATTTTGACGTACACTGTACTTTACGGCCGTAGAGCTTCGACCTGGCAACACAGAAACTTACTTTTTGCATTAAACTATTTTTATCTTTCAGTTTAGAACTACAGATTACATTAGCTAAACAAGTTAATCGATGACTTGTATCATCGAAGAAGAGTAAATTCTAATTCATTTGTGGTGACATCTAACAATCTAAATACTCTGGTAGATGTCACTACAAATGAAATTATTTGATGTATGTTAAATTTGTTGCCAGATCATGGTTTATCATGCAAAATATAATAAGGAACAGGAACGCTCAGTGAAGAAAATAATCACAACGTAAAACGATCGTAACTCGGACTTTGATTGGACCTGCTTGTGATCCAATAGTCCATAGTGAGAATTGCCAGTCCTATGGGAAAATGTAGCAAACGCCAAAACAAAAAAGTGATAATTGTAGAAGAATATAATTAATAAAATGAATAAATAATTTCTCAAAAAACTGTAGTATACAACAGCTTTACTGTTTTTCTCACAGTAAAGATATGAGTTTGGTTTTCGCCCATTGGTCGATTATAACTAGGAAAAAAGTGATATCATCGTAAAAACGTTTTTTATATATATTAGGATATGCCTTTGGTCTTGTCCAGACTACAAAAGTTAAGTTAGAAACTCGTAACCATATTGGGTGAAAAAGTTAATTCAGACTTAAGTCGTGTGCTCGACATGAGTTAAGTTAATACTTAAGTGAGAAAAGATATACGTATACCTACAAAGTTTCATCTACTAAATCTACACTTCTTGTTGAAAAACAAGGAACTTCGATGTACTGTGAGCCTTTCTACTAGCTATCCAGAGACAAAATGCAAGCAAAAGGAACTAAAAAAGAATTTTGTTCGCTAAGAGTAAGATCATAACTTGTCATATTAGACGCTCAGCTATTCATTTTACAGAAAAAAGTATTGAAAATAATCAAAACTCTTGACATAGGTTATGTAATTAAAAAAGGTTTCATGCGCTTTGCTAATCAACTGCTATGTTTCAATTATCAGATTTTGATTTCTATCAAGAAAACTTAAGAATTTTGGTTTTATTTGTTTTTTCGCGATTTGTTTATTATAAGAAAAATCATAATTATGTCATTACCGAATTCAAATAACTCAACGCAACTCGTTCGTGCTTCCGGTATATATATTTATTATTCTTGTTACAGCTAACTTTTGTACTCACCCGTTTTTCATTTAGGTTGGCCAAAAACAACTGCTCCAAGTGCGACGGTAAGTCAGAGTGTTTAGGACGATTTTTACTATATATTTCTTATTTTCAACCTTCAGATCAATTCAACTACTTCTACAACACCGACCTCTGCAACAGCAACTACCACTGTGCAAACACCCACCACACCAAATCAAACAAATTCAACACCGCCAATACTAACTGCTCTAACTGATAACAATTCAAAACTAAATAATTCAGCAACAAATAGCAGCAGTCAATCATTTACGCACTTGGAACGTACAATACAAAGTTATCCATTAACAAATTATACATTTGGTACAAAAGATGCATTATATGAACGTGATAGCTCTGTACAAGCACGTTTTCAACGTATGAGAGAAGAATTTCAGACAATGGGTATGCGACGTTCAGTTGAAGCCGTTTTATTGGTTCATGAACACAATCTACCACATGTTTTATTGTTACAACTGGGTACAACATTTTTTAAGTTACCAGGTAAAACGAAATAACAGAAACGACTTTCCTTCAAAATAAAAAGTGTTTCCTCAAAACTAAACTTTTCTGTCGGTAATATCACATCTTTTATTTTCAATTTCTCAGGTGGTGAGTTAAATCCTGGTGAGGATTCAATTGAAGGTTTAAAACGTTTATTAAACGAAACACTTGGTCGTCCTGAAGTTACTCCGCAAAATCAATGGCTAGTCGAAGATGTTATTGGTAATTGGTGGCGACCAAATTTTGAAGCACCACGTTATCCCTATGTTCCTGCACATATAACAAAACCAAAAGAACATATTAGATTATATCTTGTTCAATTAGGTGAAACATCCATGTTTGCTGTACCAAGAAATTATAAACTTGTTGCTGCACCACTCTTTGAATTGTACGATAATAGTTCTGGTTATGGTCCGATTATATCCAGTTTACCGCAGGCATTAAGTCGATTCAATTTTATATATAATTGAGAAAAGACAAAATATATTAATGAAAACTGATGTGCATTCTAAATCTTTCAGAATAGGAAATTATCTCTACAAAAAAAAACATAATTATGTTGTACTTTTTACATGCGCAAAGGGATTTTTGTAAATAAGCGTTACATATATACAAATTATTTGTACTTCCTTTTTAAAAAAAGAAAAAAACGCTTTCTCTTGTGAAGAAAACGTGTTTTGCTCTTGTTGTTGTTGTTGTTGTTGTTGTTGTTGTTGTTTCTTTCTATAAAAGATAGATAATTCTTATTTTGTTGATGTTTAGCTAAATGAATTTAAAAGAGGAAAGAACTAGATTGCGACTACAGAATAGTAAATTCGCAAAAGAACGATATTTGTCGTTCTCAACTTGACGGCAATGTGGAACGTACAGAAGTACGAATAATTAATATATACAGTGGCTAGCAAAATTATTGGGTTAACACGACAAAATTTCAGGGACAAAAACAAGGACAAACAAGGCAAAATTAACCGGAAAACACGAACGATATGCCCTCAGGGCTTTTCGTAAATTGAATGCCGTGTTATGAAGAAATGTCGTAGCTCGGAAACGTCTCATTTTATTCACAAATATTTGCTCTACCAGACAAAACTGTTTCCAAAAACGTATTGGTCAAATTCGGGAACTTGATTTTCCAGAAACCCTGGTTAAAGAATCCTCGATGAAATTTTGGGTGCCACATCAGATTGGAAATTCTTTCAGTTATTCAAATCTTTCTTCAGATTTATTCTAACTATAATGGTCGAGGAGAAAAATTAAAAATAAAGGCGACCCAATAATTTTGTTAGCCACTGTATTTGATTGCTATTTGTCCTATTTATGACTGTTTTCGATGGTGTTCAGATTCAACCGAACAAAACAGTTAACATTTCACTGTTTTGTGTTAATTCTTTTTATAAATATCTAGTTCAAGTATATTTTATTTTTGGTGTTAAATACGCCTTACAGTTAACAATTTATTTGTCACTATTCATCCTTTCAAAACTTTTATACGATTTTGAATGTTTTATATCATTTTCGTATAACTAATGAGTGATTTCAGTTAGTTGTATCGAACCTTAGTTAGAAATGTCTGTTTCTGTTTATTTTCTGACGAGAGAAAAAGACACGGATGTACAAAAAAAGCAGTAGTTTCTACTTTACAGTTCACAAGAGAAAGTTATACAGCCCAAATAATGCTCGACACACCAGCTCCACATATCATACATAACAAATAACGCCCATACACAAGAATACTCAATTACACACACATATGAGCAAACAATAAGAAACAATATTTGTCTGAAGATAATGATGAGTGAGAAATTTTTGCTGAATAACGAGTTTCTAAGGGTGTTATAAACATCCAAATAGAACGGTGATTTACTATTCGATAAGAATTAACTGCACGAAAGTATTCCCATCTATTTTTTCCAATCCGACCGACGAAACCTAGCAGCTATCTGACTATTGTTCTTAGTATAAACGACGTTTTTAGAAATGACTCTAGCTGCAAAACTTTTGATTACTTCTAATGGTGCGAAATACTTAGGATAAGTGTTGTCAAAGGCACAACAATCATTGTCTATCTATGGTAACACATATGTTTTGAATAGGTGGAGGCGCAGAGACGAAGGAGGTGCGATTGATCACACCAAACATCTTTCTTACATAATAACGCGGTCTGTTAGATAGGGTACTTCCAATGTAAATCTTTATATGTCAATTAAATTTCTCTCTAAGATAACAGTGATAGTTCTACAGTAAATTTTAGTAATTCAGTTGATTATTTAGTTGATATTTAAAAGTGAATTATTTTGGTTGACTTTGAAAATGGGTCAGAATTGCAAAAAAACACTAATTAATAATTAAATAAATTTCACTGCAACACTTTTCAGAAGATATATATATATATATATATATATGGGCACTGGCTTGGCATCAGTGATGGCTTTTAATATCGTTGCTTTTAGTAATTTGGTATGAATTAGAGTGCGACACTGACTGATATCAGTATCATCTGTGTCTCGGCACTTCGCTTATGAGAAGGAAAAGATCTACTCAGACAGACATCGGAAATATCAAGAGTGTACTGTGGTGTTTAAATAGACAGACACTGATAAAACACAATGGTGATTGAAAGCAAAAGTTTGGCACGGGCGCGCATCGATGCTCAAGACTCAAGTCCGAGTTGAAGATGCTCAGGTCTGGCATGCTTCTGCAAGAATTTAATATTTGATCATTTTTCATTAAATACAGCAAAAGAAAACGTTTTCTTTCAATGATGTCATCTATACGCTATTATGAAAACAAATGAACGTCTCATAAATTCTAAAACCGCCTTTACTTATATGAAAGATAGAAATAGTTTACTGCAAAAAGTAAGTTTCTGTGTTCGAATTGGTACACAACCAATTTTGTGTTATTGGATAGTTTCAGTTTTAGACTATTAAAATGCATATATCTCATCGTTTGCATGCTAAAAGAATAAAGCTTGTATCAAAGTTGAATATTACTACATGGATGATAACGACGATGTGTTGTGGGATACGAGATGAAGATACAAGAACATTAGAATTATTTCATGTAATGAACACAAAACGTCTCCGTACAAACAATGTTGTGCAGGAAGGTTTATTCAATTCTTGTATTACTGGTTCACAGTGGACTACTAAAGTATATTAAATATTCAAATTATAAAAATGAATCTTATCGCATGAGCTCGCTCAACAATAGTATGTTCTACATCGAATCTTGTATCATATGGAGCTGAAGTAATCAGACAACCATTAAATATCGACCAAAGAGCAGCAGTCAAAGAAAGGCAAATCTCTTAAGTGATTTTTCTAATAGATTTATGTCAAATCATCACGAACTATCGCGACAAAACATTATATTGCGTAGCACGCCCTGTAATATAACTCCATACCATATCTTGTCACGATAAACTCCATATGTAACACGGTAGAAGCATGCATCGCAATGAATCGAACAGTGTGCTACAATGCGATATGATATTTTATATCGGTTTGTCAACACGTTGCAATACATCGTGCATTTTCTGTTAGAAGATTCCTCATAGGTCTAATATATATCTGTATTTTAATTTTTTTCGTTTATGCAGATCTCAGTTGTATTGCAGACTGAAGTATTGATATGTGTTCTAGAGCAGAAAATGAAGCCGTTGAAACAGATTGATGATACAGATGAAGAGAAGAAAGAAAGACGCTGAATTTATGTAAATATCATTCTAAAACAAGTTAAAAGTCAGCCAAATATTGTTCAGAGCAACCAAAATAATTCACTTTTAAATATCAACTAAATAATCAACTGAATTACTAAAATTTACTGTAGAACTATCACTGTTATCTTAGAGAGAAATTTAATTGACATATAAAGATTTACATTGGAAGTACCCTATCTAACAGACCGCGTTATTATGTAAGAAAGATGTTTGGTGTGATCAATCGCACCTCCTTCGTCTCTGCGCCTCCACCTATTCAAAACATATGTGTTACCATAGATAGACAATGATTGTTGTGCCTTTGACAACACTTATCCTAAGTATTTCGCACCATTAGAAGTAATCAAAAGTTTTGCAGCTAGAGTCATTTCTAAAAACGTCGATTATACTACTGTTTAGATGATTTATAGATCAGCACTGCTCAGCACCAGTATCATTTCGGAACTGGCTTGGCATCGGTATATACCGGCTGTGCGAACCTTTTTCTTTTAGGGTAAAATAACACTGCTATTGCTTCTCTTAAACAAGGCACAAAATGCAACCAATCAAAAAATATATAACAACGCCTTAACTTTCACCCGACACGTATTTAACCTTCAGTCCTCTTGATTGTAATCTGTACAGAAAATTTTCATGAATACTAGCACTTGTATAATCTGAGCTCCAAAAGTTCAGTAACGTTTTTGAGATATCGTAAATTCTTTTTGTCTTTATGGTTCATCCAGGTCATTATCAACCGTCGATTCATCGTCTTCGTTTCGACTATCACTGCTGTCTTCATCAATAATATCATGTTTTTGCATTTTCTTATTTGTATTTGAACTAAACGTAACACTTCCCCGTTGATTTTTATTACGTTTTTTAATATTCACTAATTTTTGTGGCAGAACTTCTTCTTCCTCTACTTCATTATCATTAACTGCTGATTGTTGTTGATCTTTCGCGTGAATTTTTATCGAGGGCTGAAGTGGTTCATCATCATCATTCTCGAGCATTTTGTCAGTAAACTTTTTCTTGGTTGGGGGACGTCGAAAAATAACACGTGTTTCCTCATCATTCATCTCTGTAGCATCGTCATCATCTCTTGTTTTGGATTTTTTCACACGTGTTTGAAAAAATTGACTTAATGCATGTCTGTTTGCTACGCCCGTTAGCATATGATCATTGACATCAGTCAGCGTATACTTTTGCCACTTTTCTGGCTCGCGTAGATAACCTGGCGAATTTAAATCAGATGCCTTTTGTTTATTATGTAAAGAAGTTGAACAGACAGCGTCTGATGGTATATTTGGATTGTCAGTGGTATCGTTTAAGCGTACACTACTTGTAGGAATAAAATCATCATCTAGACGAGATGGGCATAATTTTTGTTGTACAATATGTTCTTTTTCTAAACTACCAAGTTGATCGAATACGCCATTTGTACGAGATTTAAAATCTTTCGTGGAATTTGACAATTGAAAATAACCTAAATATAAAAAGAAGGATCTATAATATATACTGGGATCGATTTGCTAAGTCAGAAAATAGTTTTCAGCTATAGAACTACTTATGCCAAATCATTCTATTTATCACAATATTTCTTTTACTGTTTTACTGCCGATGGTTCCGCTCTTGAATATCCATCGATAGATTCAAAACGATTATAAATGATCTTTTGATCCTTTAGAACATGAAAATACTTTTTTTTCTATTACCTGACATTAATGGGTCTAACAAATATAATCTAAAATATACTAAAAACAGAAACAACAAAATCACTTGATTCACCATCAAAAAACAGCTCTTCTTATTGTTTAAGTTATGCATGTTCTTCAAACGTAGATTTTCTTCGACAAAGAAAATTTTTTTCATGCCCGTGCTCTCATATTAGTTTCTTTTCATTGATAGAGAACCTTTAAATACAACGAATAGCGTCGAAAGCCACAATAAGATGTATAATTTTTACTATACTATGGCGAACTGATCAGTGATACCAGAAAGTTTTTCTGTCTTTTTCAATATTTTTCGAAAATTCAAACTAAAAAAAAACAGGAAACAATTTTCAAATCTAACTATACAAAGATTACGAGTTCATTGGGACTGAATGTTCGTATTCGTGAGTAAACATAAACTATGGGTAAAAAAATATGTTTCGGACACCACGATGGACTGGTAGTTACGAATAAACAATCATTGTTCAGCATCATTTTCATCACCATCTTCATTCTTTTCTGCATCTATAAAATAAACAAATATTAATTAGACGTAACAGTAACGTAATTTTCAGACAAATAAAAAGGACGGATGGCTCATTTTTGAAACACATTTTTAAAAGTGAGGTTCGCCTGTTTTGTTTAAGACTTAAAAAACATAGAATATTTTGTTCTACAAAATTGCTGTACATGATATTCGAATATTTTCTCATAGACTCAAAAAACAACTAAGAGTAAAGACAGATAAAAAGAATAGCTACGACTGATAGTTTTTGGTGAAACATGTGATTAGAGAGTTCAACGTACTGAATATTTGTAGTATCTACAACAAAATTCTATCTTCTAGGTTTAGAAAGAAGTCTTCGAATTTCAATTTAGTCTACGCAAAGATAAGTCACAAAAACACTGCATTATTTCGGGGTCACTCGATATATTCATGTACTAAGGAAGCCGCTCTTCACCTTCTTCTTGTGGTGGCTTTTCATCGTCAAAGTCTCCTGGTTTCTTTCTTATTGACCGTTCATACTCCCAATTTGCCCAATTGTAAAGGGCTACTCCCCATGCTATATTGGGCACCCAATATATGGCGATTGTTTTGAATAAACGCGTATAATATCGATATGAAACATCACCACCCACTCCAGCATAACTAAAAGAAAATAATAAGGAACAATTAAAGAACTCATGAATTCAGTTATTAACTTCATACGTACGGATTTTGCTGATAGGGTGATAGTGTATATTCAATTTTACCACGCTGATAACCAATTTTACCCCAAATCATTCCCAATCGACGAAATGAAAAACGCATTTTTCACTCGTATGATCAAAATTAATATTAATAGATCTAAGAAACAATAATACAAACATATTAGATTTAATTCACAGTGGTATCCATTAAAGTACGAAACTAAAGCATAAAACGGACAGGATGGAATCGGCAAAAAAAAATAATTACGAGCATATTTTAGGATGTATATACAATTGCGTATAGTAAGTTGAAGTTTCAAAATTCAAAAAAACCACAAGGTTTATATAAATTTAAGAGATAGAATGGCTTAAGAAGACTATTCTATCGCCATAATATTAAAGAAAACTTGATTGAATAGTTTGTGCCGTACTGCTGCGTGTTAAATAGGTGTCGTTAGCGTATAGGATTATATATTAGTTAGAGACTGAGAACGGGGAACAATTCTGTTTCTTATTTGACACTACAAACTAAAAATGCAAATGTTAGCACGCCCACTTTACACATGACCCGCACTAGAGTTTTATAGGTTAGGTTGTAGGTTACGTCATTGATAACCTACTTTTATCCTAAACGAAAGAAACCGATTTTGAACGACCACATTAAGCAGCCAACACTTTGAGTAATAAAGCGTAGTTCGAGTGGAATTCTATCGATTGAGGATGAAGTTCAGACCGAGGTTCTCTAGTTTAAACTGAAAAATAGCACAATCAAAAAAGGAAGTACAGAGAAAAAACTTCCGTTTGCTAAAAATAGATGGCAAATACACAACAATAACGGAATCTTCGTAGCGTCGAGAGCCTAAAGTGGAATTCTGGTCTACTCTCAAAGGGGTCTCCCTATTCAGACAGCTATTTTCCAAAGATTGCATTAAAGAATAAAAGACTCAACCGATTCATTTCTATATTCATGTAAAATGTGATTTTATTTTGTATAAGCTTATCTTTCAGACGGTGTTTAGATAAAAAACAATAACGATATGGAAGAAAGTTGAAGTTTAGGGTTCTGAAACTAGATTTTGGGAAGAATTGCAAAAGGTTGTATTAGGTTGATCTAGATTAGGTTATGCAAAACATGAATAGGTTAAGTTTAGGTTGTGAAAATTTTTATAGGTTAGGTTATAGGTTGTCGAAAAGTCATAACCTGCAGGACTCTAACCCGAACGACGTTAATATTCTGGTTTGTCCATCATGTAAAACTAGTGGCGTAACGAGAAAAACGACAGTAGTACGGCGACGCTGTAGTTTTTTTCAAACATCTGTTTAGCGTAGTGTAAGTTTTTTTTACCCGATTTTATACTTTTTCTCGGTGGCATGGTAAAAATTTCCGGTGGTACAGCACCGCCGTACTGTGGTTACGCCACTATGTAAAACATGAAAACTTACTCAGAACTCCCCGTTTTCTCGCTGTTCAACCGTTAGCAAAGTGGTCGGTTGTGTTCACAGGCGGTGATTTGCTTGTTTCAAGTGGCAAAATATCGTACCTCTACCCAGCTTTGAAGCTTCCTTGTGTGATGATTTGAAAGTGGATACAAAATGACATATTCGGCTCGCAAAACTAGGTCTTAGCCTTTAATTTT